CTTTTCCTTCCTCTGTCTTCTTCTTTCTTTGCTTCCTCTGGAGTGACATGTGAAATCTTTGCACACCTTCAGGCTTGAGATGGGTGTTATGAGATTAGCGCTTTAACAGGCCTGAAAGCTGCTTAGACTATTAAATCTTCAACCTTCCCTCCATCTTTCAAAGAAATCACTTCTGGAGGAGCTGGAGAGATGGAGCACACAGTCATTTTTTCATGGGTCAGCTCTTCATCCATCTGAGAGCCTTCAAGTACTGTGGCTGGGTGGTTTGAAGGGATTACCATTGGACTGGGGTTGGGAAGCCCAGCTAAACCCTTACCAGGGGCTCTGTGTTGGCACCTCAAAGTGTCTTCTCCCTCCTTCCTCTCCCTGCTGAATATTGGCTCCCTTGCCTGGCACTGTGTCTAACCTCCATCCCTTTCCTCCCTTCCCACCCTATCAGCTGCACACTCCTTTGCAGCACTTTAGGAGGAATGAGTGGCACAGAGTAAGAAGAAAATGGGCACCACTTGTTCTAGGCACAGCACGATTAACCTTAGGATGCTGACTTTTAAAGCCAGTCATGGGACAATGTGTGCCTGTGTTATTCAAATGGAGAGAATTCATGCTTCATTGTCTGTATCCCCACTTATCTCACCTAAATGGGAGGCAGAGAAGGCAATGCCGGGATTACCAAGGAGTTGGGTGGCACCTCGTGATGCAGTGAATGCCCCCTCCTACGGCAGAGAAAGGTTTTGTGTCTGAGCTCCCTGATCTGTCACCTTCCCCAGTTCTCATCACCTCGTGACTGTCTCAGGAGCAGATTACCTCCTCCTATCTCTGCAGGGAAGAGGATCTCTGTGTGTAGTGAGGGACACCATCTGGGGACATCTTCTAGGGGCCAAAACTGACACTTACCTTGCAGCACCTGTTGACATGAATTTGCTGCACAGTGAGGTTGTCTTCCCAGCATATCACCTGTAGCCTTTCTGGAGACTATAAAAAGCTTGAGGAGGAGGCAAAACTCATGACATTGTCAGGATTCATTAAAGAGAAATCTAAGTTAATAACACTATGTATTGAGTTTAGTGAAAATGCAAATTAGTAGTTCCAAAATGAACCGGTTTACAAGAGCAGCATTAAAAAATATTATACTGTTGATCCTCTTAAAATTACAAAAATGGATTCCCTACCTGTACTGAAATCTCTTCTGATTTTTCCCCTCAGAGCTTTCAGAGTGGGAAATTTCACTCCAAATTAGGCAGTTTTGGAAATTACAAGTAAGTGAAAGTACAAGATTCTAAGAGGTGAAGTTTTTCTGAACTAGTCACTCCTAAAGGCTGTAAAATAATTCTGTTCCTCAAATGCAGCCACCTGTTCGACAGAAGATGGCGATGACATTTAGCAGCACAAAGCTGCAATATATCACCACGGTAAAAAATTCAAATCCAGAAATACTGGACTGATTATGGCTGCAATCCAAATTCAAACAGGAAAAAATGCCATACCTAGTTCTTTTTAATCTTACAGTTTTAAAAAAATGTCAAGATTTGTTGTTTCCAATAAGGCACTACAGATATATATGACTGCTGAGAATAAAGGCTGTGTAGTTGAAAGATATGTTTTTAAAAATTTGCATAAGCTTTTTGAAATAAGCTTAGACATTAGTGGTTTAACAGACGTATTAATTTGGTCAACTAATTGTGATCAGTGGGGTAAAAATAAGTAAGACTGAATCATAATATTTTAAGTAGAACATATTATTTTCCAACTAAGAACATATTTGAGACTTTACCATATTTTTTGCTACAAAGCAGGCACACTCTAGCTGTTGTCCTCGTCTCCTTCTGTCATAGAAAAAAGGAATTGGCTGTGGTTGGACAATGTCTGCCAAGAGATGATCTTCATTGCATGGCATCAGTTTGTCAGAGATTAAATACTAGGTTGTAGAGATTTGCTTTCAGTGATGTTCTGCTCCAGCGTGGTTCAAAACCTTCCTTTCTTCCAGCAGAGCAGTGACGTGGTTCCCCAGCAGGATGCTGGGTGTGCTGACCCAAAGGACGATGACTGGCTTCTAAGTTCCCATCTGCTCCACATGGTGCGTATCCGACATCTACAGCTCTTTCTCACATTGCTTACCAATAGGAAGATGAAGCACAGAGCAATGGCATGATTTGCCCCTGATTACATACTGACTAATTTCTAATCTAGGACTAAAATCTATTTCCCCTGCATGCTAGGCAGACGTGCCCATATAGGTTGAGGGTACATACATACGGTGGCACACAGCTATACACCCCTATGCCTTTATGCATATTTGTGGATATACTGGTCTTGATTTATGCTCACATCCATTTAGAAATAGTGTGTAAATAGCTACAGAAAGGCACATGCAGTCTGGTGCTTAATTAAAAAGAAACCCACAAAAGAGACCAAGCTAATCTCAACTATGCCTCAGCAAGAATGATCACCATAATGCTAGTTATGATTGTACTGGTTTTGCTCTACACAGCTGCTAAACCCAAGGAAATTTCAAGCCAAGCCATGAGAGAACAGGGATCTCAACCCACACCTCCTATCTAAACAATTTTCTGGTCTCCCAGTATGAACTGGAAAGTTTGCTAAAGTCAGAGTGTTAGTCCAGACAGCAAAGAAACCCAAGACAAGCAATTGATGTACAAGATTCAGTGGCTTCCTCAGAGCTCCCCACAAATATATCCAATTCTTCACAGCTTTCCCCGGCCAGGACTGTTCACATGAACAATATGAGCCACCATGAAGTGGCACTGTAGTTGAAAGAATTTGCTCTGCCCTTTCCCCATCCCTATCCCACACAGCCACTTCCCTGGTGCTGGCATAAAGGTTTAGCCACATTTGTCTGTTATGAACAAATATTGGGAAACCTATCTGGATTGACAACTCACTGGTATACAATTATGCATTTGCTTACGTGTTTTTGCCCAGTGCCGTTTAAACTCATCTCACTGCTGTATTCAACTCAGTTCTCTTGTGCTGGCCCATGGGGAGGGTTAGCGTAGGAGTAAAAAAGAGCAGAAAAGAACAAAATTATTTCTCTTGGTCGTGAAACTAATTCATGGAAGCTTAAAACGCTTCTCCGGCTGTAGCCCCTGCTAAATGGAAATCCACTGCCAGATAGACATATGCTCTGTTTGTCCCTTGAAATGCATGAGCTAAGAATCATTGTGCAACCCATAGCCTAAATGAAAGCAATGTCAGGCTGGGAGAATCAGTCCCCTTCCTCTGAGATCTGTTTATCCCCGAAGAAGAGCCCTTTCACTCAGTTGTTTGCAATCTTTAAAAATTTGTGTACAATAAATGTTTTCTAACGGACATGTGGATCCCGGGCAGTGAATTTAAGCCCATGGACAATAGATTTGCTTTGCTTATTTTGCTTCTGTAAGTGCATTAAAAGCAGTGTATCAGTCATTGCAGGTCCAGATTTGTCGGTTGCAAACCAGTGATTTAATTTGTTGTACACCGAGGACTGTGTATGCGAAGGATTTATGTGACTGAAGAACTAACTAAGTGGGCACTGCGGGAGTGGAAAAGAAAGAAGAAATCTGCTGATATTTCAGAAAGGAAGAGGTATAGAATCTTTTGGATCATTTAAGCAACCCTGGGAAATGAGAGCTTGTTCTTCCTGAGGTAGCTGATCTTTGAAACTGCTTGTGTGAGAACGGGTGGGAGTTGGGAACAATAAACTGATTAAGTGCAGCAGGTAGCAGGAAAAATGAGATTCATGATGACCTCCATTTGCACTACCCCTTATCTTCCCACGTATGCAGGAATACACAGCCTGATTCTCCGCATATTTTATTTGGTATAAATCAGGGCCAGCTTTTGAAATCGACCTTAATTACACCAAGAAAATAAACAAAACAAAAGCCTGCGGCGAAAAACAAAGACGTACCCCCCTCTCGTTCCCAGGCACAGCAGCCCTCACCGAGAGCCCGGAGCCGTGCACGGGGAGCACTCCCGCGTCCCTGGCCGGGCTCTGCTCCGCAGACAAAGCCCTGTGCACCTCTGCGCAAAAAGAGCGCAGCGCGGCGCCGAGCGGGCGGGAGCGCAGACAAAGCGGGGCAGGCGCCGCAGCATGCGGGGCCGCGCAGCGCTTCCTCTGCGAGTGGGCTGCTGCCGCGCTCCTTTTTTTTTTTTTTTTTTTTTTTTTTTCTGCGTGTGAGTGTTATTTTTTTTTTTTTCCTCTCTTCACCAACTTCCTTCCTGCTCCAACTGCCAAAGCTCGAGGCTGAGCGCTGACAGCAGAAGAGGACCCCGGCCGCAGGCGCCGCTCAGCCGGTGAGTACGAGGGGCGGGCAGGGGGGAGCCGCGCAGGGACAGCGCAGCGGGCGCACCCCCGGCTCGCTCCTCGCTGGCGCCGTGCAACTTCGCGCCTTTGTTCCCGGTGGCTGGCGCCGATGCCCAGTCCTGCCCGAGGAGACTGGAAGGGCCCTGCCAGGACCCGAGGGGGAAGCCTGTCCACCCGAGGCTCCGCGCGACGTTGGGGCGGAGGGGCAGGGGAAGGAGAAGCGGTCCCGGCGCCCTCGCTGTGGCGGCGGATGTATCACTGCGGGTGGTACCCGCGGTCCCCGGGCAATGGGCGCTTTTTCTATCCCCGCACCCCAGAGGGGGTGAGATGGGGGCGCTGCTGAATCCGGTGTGTTTCTCCCCCATCGCGGAAAATTACTTCCTCCCTGCTAAGCCCGCTTCCTGGAGATAAACTCTTGGTTAGCGGATGGTTTGGAGCAGTGATACGCAGAGGGAAGGCAAGTGAAATGCTGCTCCTGTGACACCCCTTTTTGTGCTCCATGGCGGCATGGGGGGGCGAGGAGGTGCCCACCATCCACCCTGTCACTGGCCCCTCCTGCTGCAGGTGCGAGGGCAGCCACTCACCCACGGCACAAGCAGAACTCAGCTGCGAGACGCGTGCACCCCTCGTCAGGTCCTCCTTCGCCTCCTGCAACCTATTCTCTCTGGCAGGCATCCCTAACCCTTACCCTTACCCTCTCCCTGCTGTTTCATGGGTCCTACCAGGCCTCAGAATTGCAGGTGATGCAGGACTGTGGGTTGGGGCTGCAGGAGCACAAGAAAAATGTGGCAGAGCAAGACAAAAATCACAAAGGTTTCTCCTTGCGTAGAGCAATATATGGTTAATTTTCTCATTTTTAATGAGCCTCCTGGGCTGAATGAGGGGCTCTATCTTAGTCCTTGGCCTGGGCAGTGGCACAGAAGCTCATGGACTGCGGCAGCAACATGCTTTCTCTGGGGAGGCGCTGGTGCCTGAGCCCAGGCACGTGTCTCAGCTTGCAGAGGGGACCAGCTCCAGAGCTGGAGCAAGTAGAGGCAGAAACAGTTGAGATGGGAGCTTTCGTCTTGGCCACCTTCTGCCTGGGAATTTGGCAGGAAGGTAGGGTCAGGTCCATGGCTTCGGGAGAAACGACAGAAGGGGGTCTGATCAGAGCCATCCTGAGATGCATGTGAGCCAGGAGTTGTTCATCCCAGACAGCCTACCTGGTCCTGTTCCCTGCAGGATCTTACTGTTGGTATGGCAGGCTGTCTGTCCATCTTTCTGGGAGGTTTTCAGAGTCTAAAAGCATTCCCTCTCAAGAGAGCCACCCACAGAGGGTGGCAAGGAGAGACTTTGTGTCATGTATGATGCAAAGGGAAGATCTGAGGGATGAGGAGCAATCAGTCCTGACTCTCTGCCTTTTCTCTGTGTGTAGCCAGAGATCTCTCTTTCCATCTCCTGGGTCTGTCCCTCTCCTATGATAAACCACAAGATGTGGATGGGGGAGGACAGGGGCAGACAGGCAGGCAGGCAGGCAGGCACCTCTGCTCTGTGCTTGTAGTAGTGGCAGATGCAGCCTGGTATCATGAGAGAGCTTGGGAGAGTCGAAATTACTGAGACCTGCAGCTGGAGCCCAAGTGGAAGGTGACACCTGGCAGTGGCTGTCATGGCTCATCACACCCTCTTCCTGTGCTGAGTGTGGAATGGCACTGAGGGGATTGTGAGGCTTTCTAAGGTGACTGTGCTGAGATCACAGAGTGGTGGGGCATGTGTGATCATTGCTTTCGTGAGAGAGCTTTTGGTTTCCTTACTCGTGAGGACAAGCTCAAGGGCCTTTCCTATGGTATTTAGGTACTTCACACTCCTAGAGTTGGGTGTGAACTCAGTCCAGGTTATTCAGCTGCTAGGACCTGCTTTCTTTCCTGTCCATTTGAGTTGAGATTCCCTTTTATTTCCCACCTGCCCACTCTGCACTAGTTTTGCACTCATCACAAAATTGCAAAGTTGTCTTGCAATAACCATTTCCCATTAGCATGCCCAACTGAGTCTTCTTGTTCCTATGCTGCTCAGTCTTTGTAACATGCCTCTGTCCCTTTGTAATATGCCAATATATCACTCCTTGATTTTTTTTTCCCCCCATTGCAATTACTCTGGGAGGTGTACATATTACTCATTGTTGCCTGATTCACTCACTCATGGCTAGGCTTCGCGAATGAAGATTAAGGATTAAGGTGTTGCCTGATACCACTTGCTGATTCACCCTGAAGAGTTGCCTTTTTTTTTTTCTTTAATATTTCCTTTCAGTTTTAATGAAGGAGAAAACTATCCCATTAGCTCCCGATTTAAATGTTGGGAGCAGGGCAAATGTTAAGACCACAGTTGCAGAGAAGGATGAAGGGTTTGTTTGGAAAATTGCAAATAAGCAGGCAAAAGGGGACAGCCTCAAAGAAAAAGTTAATATAAGTGGAAGTGAACTGAATGATCTGTTAGCTTGACCAAATTCCCTTGCTGCCAAAGAACAAGTAATGGCTTGGTCATTTGTGACAATTGCCACTGTAGTGGGGCACTGCTTTGTTTTTCAGCCTTTCTCTGAAGAGTGGGAAGTTGGCTAGGATGATGTGGCTGGCTCCATGAGGCAGGCAGCTAACTAAGGGTAACCTGGCATAGCACTGCTTACCTCTCCTGCCTGTCTCCTGTCTCCCCATCCCATACCCTGTTGCCCATCAGTTGATCTTTCTCTGCTGTGGTTGCTATTTGGGATGCCACCCAAGCAGTTTTGCTGCCCTTCTGAGTTCAGTGGTGCATGTCCCAACCATGCTGGCTGCGTGGTTGCAGGCTCCAGCTCTCCTGCCTCTCCTTTGCAAGAAGCCCCACTGAAAAAACACAGGTATGCGTGGCTGCTCTGTGGTCATCATCATGCTTCCTTCCTCAGGGGGAAAGAGTCCTGATCAGTGCCTGAAGGGAGCTGTTCCTGGGAGCACAGGGGATGCCAGCAGATAGACTAGGGGGTTCTCTTCCTTGAGAGCTTCAGCTGACTTGCTAATCTAAGGGAGTAGCTGTCAGGTATTTGATCTTTCTATGAAATGTGGCTTTTAACCCATTATGAGAGGGTGAATGAAACATCTGTCCCTGCCTTTATTTGTATATCTCTGTGCTCCAGTGTGTGGCAGTGACTCTTTGTGCGAGATAGCTGACGAGCACTGAAGCCTTGTACAGTGGCTTGTAATTGCGGGGTTGCCGGCCACAGCCATGCTGCAGAGTGGCTGTAAATCATTCTGGTTTCAGCCTCTGCTCCTGCACCTCCTCCCTGGGAGGGAAGAATGGTGTAAGTGCGTGTGCGCATGGTGCCTGCAGGGAGAGAGGAGCGGGGGTAGAGGGGGTTTGTGTTCAAGCCAGAATATCAGCACAGCAGTGTCAGGATTGCAGCTGATCACCGTCGCCATTTGCCTGTAACAATCCTGCTGCCTTTGGCACTGGGTGTGTGCTTGCCTGTCCCGGAGACTGAGCCACACTGTGCCCAGAGTGACTGCCCCTAGGGACACTACCCTGTCCAGAGCAATCTCATTGACTGCCCCCTCCTCTGCTACCCAGACCAAGTGACCATGACTGAGAAGACCCAAGAACCTCATGTGGAAGAAGATGATGATGAGCTGGATGGGAAACTCAATTACAAACCTCCTCCCCAGAAAACCCTGCAGGAGCTGCAAGAGTTGGACAAGGATGATGAAAGCCTTGCTAAGTACAAGAAGTCCCTGCTGGGAGATGGACCTGTGGTAGTAGGTAGGCTGGGGCACACTGATAGGGAGGGACTGGGGAGATGTATCACAACAGTGTGCTGTGGGCATGAGGCAGGTTGCCTCAAAGAAGAGGGATCTTGTTTGACGAGGGACACACGCTGCTTCTGGTGGAGGACTGGGGAGGGACAGGTGGAGAGATGCATGTAAAGGAAGCAGGGAAGATGCTCTGAGCATTAGGAGTAGGATTACTGGGGAGTGCTGTCATCAAAAAGGGACTTGTGGTGGGAGGTGTGTCGGTCTTGGAGGACTCCTGGGGGGTTAGGAAAATGGGGGAACCAGCCTATGCTGAAAGGGAGTCTTGTTGCTCAGAAATGATCTTAAGAAGGAAGTCTTCTGTAGTGGAAAGACATCCTCTAGGTATTGGGATGGACACCAGAGGGATCCATGTTTAAGGACTGGGGTAAATGTGTGGTCCTATTGTGCTAAGAGAAGCCTGGCATTACTGGGTGTTTCATGAAATGCAGTTTCTGTGTGGGAAGGCATCCCTGTTTCTTCAGTGTCATTCCCCTGTGATTATATTTAATTTTGCAAGCTGACAGCTTCCCCCTGACTTTCCTACCCGCAGACCCGACAGCTCCCAATGTGGTGGTCACTCGACTCACTCTGGTATGTGACTCTGCTCCAGGACCGATCACTATGGACCTTACAGGTAGGCACAGGCTCTGTCCTTGATCATGAAGGGGAACAAGTGAAGGCCCTGGCATGCTTTAAGTTAAAAGGGAGTTTGTCCTTGGGATGCTACAGTGGGCTTTAGAGGAACTCTGAGGGCATCTTAGCCTTGTTACTTACTTTAAGGTATCCACATACGAATAAAAAAGGAGGTGTAGCAGAGGAAAATATCAAGGGTCTTTTTCTTCATCTAGACTGCTCTAGGAGCTGGGTTTCTCCTCCATCTCTGCTTACTTCCTTTCAACGAGACCTCATAAGCACAAGGGATGTGCATGCATTCGGTAACAGGCTGTTTTGAAACTTCAGAATCAAGCAATACTGCAGTTCCGGCTCCTGAGAACATGGGGAGAGAATCAGGCTTCACCTTATATGGGCTTTTCTGAAGAGAGAGGAAGCTGGGCTCAGAGAGGCAGAGAGGCTTCCTGTTCAACCAAAGCCACACAGAACCCTGCAGAGCCCAGGCAGCCTTCCAAGCTGGGCAGGAGCTGTGAAACATGCTCCACTCACCCGAGACAGGGCTGGGCATGGATGGAGCATGCACACACTCCTGCAGGTGCCCAACAACAAGTCTATGCATAAACATCTTTATGTATGTGTGCCCAGACCTGTGTTAGTTTAGGCATTATCTTCACAGATGTGGGCACAGACACATACGTACAGCCAGGCATTTCTGTGTATTTGGTCTCATGGTGCAATTGCTTATACAGACCTCCATGTACTCATTTTGCAGGTGTTGTTGCCAACCTTCAAACAGATACTGACCTCCAACACCAATCCCAGCCCCATCCTCCCTCCCACACATGGTCTCTCCTTGCTGTGACAACTCTAATGGCTTGATCCTCTCCTTACAGGTGACATTGAAGCACTCAAGAAAGAGACCTTTATATTAAAGGAAGGAGTGGAATACAGAGTTAAAATCCACTTCAGAGTGAGTTGTTTTCCTTCCTGTTACTTCTCATCAGTTGCTGAAGCCAGTCAGCAGCAGTCTATCAGATAACTAGTGCCAGGCAGCATGCCTTCCCAATAGCTGGGCCCTTGTAAAGCTTCCCTATCTTCAGGTTTTGTTCTACCCAACAAAGGAACAGCTATTTCCAGGGAATTACTTCTGTTTGCTCGCCCCTTGGAGGAAATTGATTTCTGTCCACTCACACTGGTGAACAATAAGTGGTTTGAAAGCCAGATGGGTAGTTTTGGCTGAGTTTGATTTGGCTTTTTAGCCACCAGAAAACCTTTACTTCACACAAAGTGGAAATGGACAGGGAGGAGAAGACAAGAGATAATGGCTTTTCATGAAGTACTGATTCAGTCAGTGTTACTGGGCTTCATGTACACATTAAAAGGATTTTTAATATTGTAACATCTGGCTGAAGATAGCTGAGTTCTTCTGAGTCATACTATACCCAAAAGGGCTCATTTCTCCCTCTTTCTCATTAACCAGTGTGTCAGCCATTTCTTCTGTTTGCAGCTGAAAACAAAACTTGGCCACACTGCAGCGTGGCATCCAGCACTGAACTGATCATCTCCACAAATGTTTGCTTCAGACAAAGCTAGGCTTGGCAGAGAAGGCAAAAATGGAAGGAAGGTAGTTCTGAGGCAGACAAGGGAAGGTGTTAATATTTTGGGTTTTGTAGGGCAGATTTCCCTTCTCCTCCGAGGTTTGCTCTCTCAGAGATGAATGTCCCCCGATGCTGTCCCTCGAGACACCTCCACCTCTCTTTTTGCTATGTAATGTTTCCATCTGTATCTGAGCCCTGTTGACAGAAGATATCTGGAGCCAGACAGGTTATTCTAACTCTCTCCCTCAGTCCCATGGCTGGTAAGAGCTGGCATCATGTGAATTCTCCCCTATGATATAAAAGGATCTGTCCATCTTGTTTCCAGATTAAGTAGTGTACAGTGCAAGAAGGCAGTGTATGCTGAAAGGGAACAGCAAGGGATACATCCAAGCTATTGATGGGAGATTTGAGGAACGATTATGAACAAAACTCTGTCCCTCTGTCTCTTGAGGAGAAGCTTGCCAGCTCCCCATGGAGCTTAGAGGACAGCTGGCAGCGCTCAGCTAATCTTGCCCACCCATTTGTATTGGAGGGATGACTAGTTACCCACGTATGGTTTTCAATATGAAAATTGTTAACTGGGAACTCCCTGCTTCATTTTTCTTTGTCCTCATCAGCCTGTCTTGAGAACATGACTGATGTGCTCCAGTCAGCTTCAAAGTCAGGCAAAGGATGGAGAAGTGCAGGAGATGCACAGAGGATGGTGTTGGTCTCCAGGTGCCTATGGAAAAGTTGTATTAGTGCTCTCTACAATGTGTCCTGTTCTGAGCCTCCCTGCTATAGGGAGTCAAGATGGGTATGTCTCTAATGAGAGGGAAAATCAGCAGATACAGAACTAAAACCCTTCTCCTGACACTTACTTCTGGTCATTTCTTTCAGGTAAACAGGGACATTGTGTCAGGACTGAAATATGTGCAGCACACCTACCGGACAGGGGTGAAGGGTGAGTAAGAGTCCTTCATGCCCTACACACCAGTGCTCCTACCTCTGTGTTCCCTCTGCTCAAAGAAGTGTTCCTGCAGCTCTTGGCTGGGATAGAGGCTCCCTTGGTCCCAAGTCCCTCCCTGCACTGCCGTGCAGGAGGTGACTTCTCAGCAGTATGCATAAACCTCTGTTGCCCAGGACAATTGTTTCTTGTCTCATGTGAACTCAGTATGAACCAGCTCTGCTATCTGTGTGCTAAACTGTCTGCAGCAGCAAAGTCTGCAGAGACTCTGCTTAGACAGTGCTTGCCACAGATTTCTTCTCCATACGAGCTTTTCACCTCCCCTCCACCTCTCCTCCTCCCCCTATAGAGTGGCTCAACCTGTGTGAAGCTTCCCCTGAAAGCTCTTCAGAAGCACTTGGTAAAATTCAGACCTGCTCTACAAAGCTTCCTGCTGTGTGTAGGGTCCTGTATTTGCTAGTGGGTTCTCCTCTTCATACAGTGCTGGTCTGCTTGGACAAGGCAGAGGAAAGCCCCATTTTGCACACACACATCCCACAGGCATTTTTGCATGCAACCACCTCTAAGGCTTCAGCATCCTGTTCAGCACACATAAGTAAGTGGTGTCTTCTCATCAGGAAAGAGAAGTAATGAGGAATCAAGGTAGACCTTGAGCTGTATGCTGTGTGTACTCACTCCCTTCTATCAGCATATAGATGTGACAGGGTATAGACTGAGTTGCGTGTTCACCTGCCCATCCACCCATCTTATCCTTCCAGCTGTCCTTATGCTTCACTAACTCACTGTTTCCATCAGTTCTGCTCCCCTTTGCTGACATGGACTGTCCCTTTTTCTCCTTCTTGTCTCTGTCTGATCTGCACTTATGCTCATGGCTTCTTCTCTCTTTACCATTCCCCATCTGAGGGACTCATCTGCTGTGGATTGTTTTCTCCTAGTGGACAAAGCCACATTCATGGTTGGCAGCTATGGGCCACGGCCAGAGGAATACGAGTTCCTGACACCTATTGAAGAGGCTCCTAAGGGTATGCTGGCTCGAGGCACCTATCACAACAAATCCTTCTTCACGGATGATGACAAGCATGACCATCTCACCTGGGAGTGGAACCTGTCCATCAAGAAGGAATGGACAGAATGAGTTCACCCAGTTTGCCTTCCCCCTTCCTGTCCCGTTGCCTCCTGCACCAGTCTCCAGGTGGGCCATGCCCACCACGCTGCTCCTTCCTGCCACCATGGCTGGCCACAGCCCTGGCAGCCCTTCACATGAGTGCTGGGGCTCTGTGCCAGCCTTGGTCGATGCACAGCCCTGCAGGCGGCCTTTGCTGCTTCTTCTGATACACTGAAAACAACCCAACCGTTCTCACCACCGCCCCATCATGACACATAATGGGTTAAATTGGGAAGCATCTCCCTCCCTCTCTCCCAATGTTTCCTCCTGTTGCCACCATCCCTCCTCTACCAACTCCGGTCCCGGAAGTGCCTTTTCTAGGAAACAAGATCACCTAGCAGGGCAGACTGGTCCCTGGAAAATCCCTATCTTGAGTTACACTTGCCATTGTGCTCTGACTCATTGTAAATGGTTACTTACCTCTCATGATGGTCTCCTGGTCTGTATCTGGTGCCCTACCCTGTTAAAATCCATCCTTGTGCAGGCAAAACCAGTCAGGGGGAATGCAGCTAGTTGCTGTAATAAGACTTTGGTGTCCCAAGAATAAAACCAGTTTCTTTCTTCTTTTTTGCTTGAGTGTCACTTCTTTTCTAGAGTATGTTTTTCAGTTATATGTATACGAAGAATGCATTATAGGAAGGCTTAAGAGCATATTTCAGCAGGGAAATAGCCCTCCTCCTTCAAAACATCAGCCTTACTCTGTAAGCAAATTATTTCAGAACTGTTTCCTTCAGGGATTTCATGAATCCTTTGAATCCCAAAGTCTAGGCTGTGATAAGGAGTTAGACAGCCTCCACCTCTCATCCCAGATGGCAACTGAATGAGCCAGGGAGCTATAAAATAGCCTTCTCATGTTTAACACCTGCCGTAGCAGCTGTTCCCCAGGGCTAATGCAAGAGCTCCAAGTCCCCGTGGCCGGCCTGCTGGGACACAGCACTTGGAGAGGGATGTTCTTACCCAGCTGGGGTACCTGGTCACAAAGGCATGGGGCAGCTGAGATGTCCAATGCTGTGGATGAGGATGTACCAGTGGCAGTGCTGGTGAAGCTCTCCAAGGCTGGTGCCCACACAGCAGGGAGGGGCTTTCTCCAGCCAGGTGGTTATCCCAGGAGCTGAAGGCTTTTCCCTGGGCCAGCTGCTCCTTTCCCACTAACCTCAGGAGTGGCTGTGGGCCCCCGTAGCAGCTGACGTGTCTCTTGCCAAGGAGAGGACTGGAGCGGGTGGCGTGGTGAGGAGAAGGCAAGCTGGTACCATGGGCACGTCTGTCTTCCTGTGTCTCTTTGTTATCCTACTTACCAGATGCTCCCCATCTGGATGTGCTGGAGATGTTGACTCTGCATCCCACAGTAAGTGAGCTTTCTTCCAGGCTCAGGGAAACACTGGGTCTGCTGCAAGGAGTCTTCCTTATCCAAGGTATGCACAAACATTGTGTTGAGCTTGCAGGAGAGGCATTCAGGTGAGCTTGTAAGGTTGGGATGCTTGTGTGTATGTTGGGGGAGCCTCTTTGAGCTGCTCTTTGTGTACCCTCTTCCCAACCCTGATCTTTCCTCTCCAGGCACAGCCAGCACCACAGAGAAACCTATCCTGTTAAACAACATCGCAGATGCTGAAGCCTTTGTCAGTGGTGCAGAGGTGGCAGTCATCGGATTCTTCCAGGTGTGTTCACAGCAGTTGTGATCCCTACCCTACACTGATGACAATCTGGGGCTGGATGTGGTGTGAACACCTGCCAAAGGCAGCTATTGTCCCGAAAGGTGGTGGAGCTGTGACAGGCGTGTGGAGGGATTAGGTGACATGTCACAAAGGGAACACAGGGAATTCGGTCTCTGTGTGGAAAGGGAGATGGAGTAAGGGAGGAAGGTGAAGGAGGTTGTAGGAGCCTTGGAGCAGGAGAAAGAGAAAGGCTGCAGGGGAAGCAAAGCAAGAATGTGGGTAGCATAGAAACAGTGTCAGTGAGGGGTGAGTGGCAATGTCAGGTTTTTGCTGTAATCAGCAAAGACAGAGTAAGGCACTGCCTGTGTGATGGGGCTGAGGAAGCTGTCTTGGAGCAGCGCTGGTGAGGGTCCTCTGAAGTCCAAGATGGCTTGGGCTCAGGCTATAACCTCCTCCTAGGGAGGGTGTAGGCATGGTCTTTGTCTCACTGCTTGGTTCCCCAGAATATCCTTGAGATCTCTGTCTCTCTTTTTATCTAAATTCAATTGAATTCAAAGATGAGTGATGGGTACAAGCCCCTTGCCCCCTGAGCATGCATATTTTTCCTCAGGAAATAAGACAAAAATATTTATTGATTTAGAGGACTCTAAAACAGAGGCCTCTTTGACAGGATACTTATTACTTTTAAGGTCCTCAAATTGCACCATTTTCTGCCTTTTTTTTGAGCTCTGCTCTTCTGCTGCCCACACGCTGCCTCATGTCAGAGAAGACTTCAGGCTTTCAAAAACAACTACTTCTGCAAGCACCTTTCTATTTCTGTCCTGTGCCAGAGGACAGGTCTGGGCTGGAGGGCAGCTAGGGAGGGCATCATGCCCTCGGAATAGCACACTGACATCTCGCATCCCAGCACAGAGTGAGGACCGATGGTGCTGCCTGTGCACTGTAAGCAGCAAGTGCGTGAGTGCTGGAGGCTTATGCCCCAGGGGCCTTAAGCACTGATCACAGAGCGCCAGCCTCGAGTTCAGTGCCTGCAGGCATTTGGAGCTTCTTGGGGGTTGCTCTTGCAGCGCTAAAGCTGTGCAAACCAGCGAGGAAATCTACACACACAGAATGAAAGTGCTGAGACGCCTACTTCCCCCAGGGTAGCTGGCTGGGCTTGTGGCAGGGCTGTACCCAGAGCCTCCTCCTGAGCTACAGCAGGGACATGGCTTCTTTTGTCTTGTTCCACAGTGACCTCCCTCCCGCTGCAGGGTTTCATTCTTCAGAGCCAGACAGGAGGCTGCTGCCGTACGGCCCCAGCTGCCAGGAGCACGAGGCTGCAGCCGCCAGCGACGTGTCAGGCATTCAATGCCTGAAGCACGACAGGGCTGCATTTGAACAGTAGATATGAACAGTAGATAAAGACGTATGTGTACCATGAAGGCTTGGCCCTCTGCCTGAGGGTATATTCATCCAAATAATGTCCATGTTCTCTGTTTGCCATAAATTATTTCTCTGCTGCAGCCTTTCAATTCACTGCAGTATGCGGCTCGGCAAGCTTCCCGTATAATGAGCATGGCCTCCCTGACTGGGAACAGCATGCCATGGTGGAAAAACAGCACACTGCTCCAGAAACCCTGCGTGTCTGCGAGAAAGGGCCATGCTTGGCCTGATTAAACCCCAGCTTTCCCAGGAATGCTCCAAAACTCTGGGAGATTATTCCCACCCTAGGCTTTAGTGCTCTTACCAGAGCAATGTTGATGTTCTGGCATTTCCAAAACAGGTCGCGAGAGATGACTTTCTTTGGAATGAACAAAGAATTTTGTTTTCCATTCACTCTGGGCTCGCAAACAGCTGAGCTGACAGTTCAAACTAAAAAGAAAAACAAACCAATTTCCAAGCAGAGACTATGTTTTCAGAATTTATATCCAGTAACAGAAATGCATCACTGAAAAGTTGGGAAGGGGAATAGCAAGGGAGTCTTTAGTATAGGCTAGGGCTGTAGTTAATGCTCTCACTGCAAGAAAGAGAATGGACCTCAAATTGCTGAGAAATTGCACATTTCTATCCTTTGATATTAGCTGAATTAGCCTGAATTAGCTACTTTTGAAAGGTTATATTTAAGATATCTTTTTAAAAGGAGACAGGATACTGATAATGCAAGGCGTTCAAAAAATTGTAAATCCCTGACTCTAGAATCAAGGTTAGCTTAAAAATTGTGGGGGTTATATATTTATTTTACACACACATAATTAAATGTGCTACATCCAGATTCTGGGTTTGTCCCCTTCCTTTTGAGAGCCCAAGGGCTCTTCACCATCTCGGTGTGTTCACCGTGAGTGTGGGCAGCGAGCTTTGTGAGGAGCGCAGGGCAGGGTGCACATCCTGCCATAATGAACTGCAGGCCGTAGGTTGGGACGGAAGGGGCGCTTGGCACCGCCGCCTGCTGACGGCCCCGGCAGAGTGAGGCCGGGGGCCGGCGGGGCAGGGGCTGTGCGGTGACCCCCGCACCCCGCTGGCCGCGCAGGACGCGCGGGGGCCGCTCGGGGCCGTTGTGCCCGCGGCGGGCGGCAGGTGTCGCTGTCGCTCCGCCCCGGGCGGCGGGGTCGGGGAGTGCCCGCGGGGGCTCCGCCCGTCACCGCCCGGCCCTTCACTGCCCTCCCTCTGCCTCCGCAGGAACCGGAGAGCGCCGAAGCGTCCCAGTTTCGCCTGGCGGCCGGCCGGATCCCGGAGGTGCCCTTCGGCCTCAGCACCAACCCCGCCGTCCTGTCCCACTACGGCGTCTCGGCGAACACCGTCACGCTGTTCCGCAGGGTGCGTGGGCACTGCGGCGTGGCGTGGGGCGGGGGGCACACACAACCTCGAGCAGCTCCCAGGGAACACGCTGCCAGGCAAAAAAACTGTTTCTCAGCATGAGCACTCTGATTTTGGGGCTCCCTCAAGTTGGCATGGGTGAGAGGGGCTCTAGGACAAGCACTTTCAAGGTGCCCGCAGTCACGGCACAGAAGGGAGATCTCTGGGAAGTAGTGGTAAAAAACATTGAAGCTGCTCGCCTCTCCTTAGAGCAAGCCAAAAAAAGGCTTGTCGTTGGCAGTCAGGCTGCCTGCCCACCTTAAAGCACATCGGTATAGCTTCCTGCCCCAAAGAGGGCTTTTGCTTTTGTTTTGCAGAGTGCCCGTCACTGAGACATGGAACATTTATCACATCTGATGAGATTCGCCTTTTTAAGTGTTTACCCTATGGATCTGGTTCAGCACCCAGTGCTCTGCAAAGAGCAATGTCTGTGTTTCTGCATGACCTGCCTGGAGCTTGGCATTAACTTGGATGGGCTTTCCACAGTTTTGGAAAGGGTCCTGAGACACATGAAAAGTGTCTAGAGCCCATGTTACAATGGATCAACACAGCAGGCTTGATATCAAATCTTGCCAAGTGTCACTTCAGGCAGGCAAAGCTGTCTCCTAGCATACAAAACTTTTCCATCATGACTGAAAACAGATCCAGCTGGGTCTCTGCAGTTACAGATTCTCTGCCACCAAAAGAAATCCCAAATGCTCTTTTCTGTCTCCTGCACTGTGGTTTGCAGACTTATTCCCTAAATGAGCTTTGGTCATGGACCCATTAGAAATGTTACTATAGAGTTTCTTAGGTATGGAGACTGTGCAAGATCAAATTTTTGTTGACCCCACTGTATGTGCTGGTGCTTCACTGTAGCTATGTTTGCTGAAATTTAAGGAGACGATACTGGAAATGGCCACGTACTTGCTTCAAGAATACCAAGAAAAGCTAAGAGCAAATGTTCTACTGGTTATATCAATTTCCTTGTGTTGCCCCTTTTCACACAGGCATGGTACTTGAGGAGAGGTAGGTATATCTGAAGAGCAAAGGGGCCCCAGGTAGCACAAGAAGTCCTAAGAGCCAGTGAAGTGTTGTGTCACCAGAGCTCTAAGTGCATCGGGTGAGGAGAAATGGGGACACACTACATGTTATAGGGAAACTAAATATGTCAGCTTGGCCAAGTTCTAGATCTAGGTTGTACAAAGATTGGACAAAGACAGTTTGTTCTCTGTTCTTTCTCATCATTTCCTGCACTGTGTTTATCACTGACATTATCCAAATAATTAAAAAAGAATGATCTAAGAGTGAGCAATAGGTAGGCAGGTCCTTTTATTTAACCATTTATTTACTGTGTGTAGATGTTGCAATTTCTAAGCAACACCCTTTTCAGTTTTGGTTTTTAGTCATGGTGGTTTTCTTCCAAAAGTACTGAAAACATCCTTTGTTTTCATGCTGTGGCAGATAGTGAGGATGACTGCATTGGAAGAGTGTTTGATAAAAGAAAGTGTTTGGATTCTTGGAATTTGGATTATATTGAATATTCTTCATTTGGAATCCAGTTTTTGTGACTGAACTCTTGTTTAATAGAAAAAAAAAACAGCCAGGAAAATAATACACTAGTCAGGTTTAAATGCGGTTGACAGTTCACTTGTCTGATTGTCAATTTTTCTTAAATTATCAGACACATTATTTTTCATTTCATCTTGTGCTGGATAATGTGTGGGAGTTAGCGGTCAGAGATAAAAAGGAATTTTAAAAGAACGGATACAGGAACTTGGAATCAAATACGCATTTGAACAATACAAAGATGCATGACCAGGATAGAAGTGAATCAGAGGCGTAAATTAATTTTTTCTTTGCTTTTTGCAGAGTATGAAACACTTGTAATGCTTAGAAGTTTAAGTCATAATTACGGTAGTAGGAGGGACTGCTGTCAACTGGTGAGACTTCTCTGCATATAGCGTAAGGAAACTGATTTATTCTAGTGAGGAATCTGGCCTGATGGACCTAAAGAACATAATTAACAGATGCTAACAACCTAATTATATGGAGTGATAAAGACATTTTGACTACAGCTTCAACTATTAGATGCAGGCTATTTTCCATCCTTATTTTCTTAAGAACATAAATGTTGGGTGCAGATTCAAGATGTTATTATCCCAAAATGGAAATCAGGTGTTTTCAGAAGCCCATGAAAGTCAAGAGAAGACTTTCTGTAGAGTCCAGGGTGCTTTAGATTGGTTCTCAAGGCCTGTCTGATGTCACCTGCCCAGGTGTTGCACTGTCCTGATCTTACTTACTTGAGCAGAACTACTGTTTCATGTTATGCAGAAGGAAAATCTGTGAGAGCTATTGGGCCACACAATCTGAAAAGCACCAGCCTGGGTTGTCATACAGGGCGGGTGATTGATATAAAAGACCTTGCCAGTGACCACAGAACAGCAAAAATGACTTTAAATGTCTGCACCCCACAGGAAAAACTAACACAAACACTTTCAGATGTTGTACAGATGTGGGGAATAAAATCTGGAGTGTGCATATGGGTCTCTCCTTAGCCCCAAGAACCTCATCCAACATGTGTATCAATGGCCATCAAATCCCAAACTTTGGTCCTATTTCATACCAGGGCCCAGTGTCCCCATGGCTTAACTCAGTCACTTCCTGTGCTGGTACTGCACAGGAACTCTGCCCCTAAACTCGGATGGTTTAGCTATCATTCAATGGTTGCCTGCTTCTTTTGTGTTTACCAGGTCATGAAAACCTTAATAAAATCACATCATTTTGGGGAAAAGGAGTGTGGGAAGATATGTGGCAGGATGGATTTTTCTCTAAAGCTAAAACATGCTGGACTTGATTTTTTTTATTTTTTTTTTCCTGCTTTGCTGGAAGAAAAATCCTTTTTATTGGAGAGATTTCTTACTTGCACAATGTTTCCAGGAATTCCATACAGGTCCATGCCAATGTTTATTACTTGTAGAAGAAACAGAATAAGCAGACGAAGACTTTTTAAAGGGATGTAAAGCCAAAATCTATGCGAGGAGCTAGGCTATTTAATGAACTCTTTCCACAGTGCTTAGAATACTTTGTCAGCTAATCCTCCCTGTCTCCAGTGCAGCAGAAGCTGATAGTGTAGGGATGGCTGGAGTCCTAAGTGATTTCTGCTATGCCATGAGTTTGCCTTGTACATGGGACACTGAAAAAGGATGGAAGATCTTAAAGTGCAGGCTGGCCTCTGTAGGTTCTAGACCTCCAGAAGTGGTGGTGGGGAGAGGTGGGAATTATGTTGTAATGGAGAGAGGATGGCGGTGTCCCAGAGGGTGGGTGCGTCTGTGAGTGAGTGCCATCAGTGCCTCTGGAAGGGGTGCTGAGATGAGAGGACAGCTGTGACTGTAGGTGTCTTTGCATGTCTTCAGGTAGACAATGACCGGAGGGATCTGGATATGAACAACAAAGATGTTGATACTGAGAAGATGACTCGTTTCGTTCGGATGAATGATCTCCGCCTGGTGACAGAGTACAACCCTGTGGTAATTAGCAGCTCCCTGCAGCCCTCACCATTGCACTTGTCCTTCTCATGGGTGTCCCTGGGCCCAAGAATTTGCATACCCAGATGTGTGTAAGGGTGGATGGGGTTGAGGGAGCCGTGCAGCTTCTCCATACGTGGCCTGGAAGCAGATGCTTTGCTGGGGTATGTTGGTGGGGTGGGAAAGGAAGGGAGTCATGGCAGTTCCTTTAGCTTTCCAGTAAATTTGGGATGTTGATGAGCAGAGAGCTCCATTCCTTACCACTCCTGCAGACAGTGCTGCTTCCTCACATGGACATTTGCCATGTTATGCCATGCCTGCAGACTCACCTCAACCAGAATCTCCTCTCTTTGGCTTAGAAGCCTTGAGAAACATGGAAACTCAAATGACCCACTCCCAGAAGGCAGGCTTTTCTTCCTCACTCACTGGACAGGGTTTGATGTAAGCCTAGATATTTGACTGCATATTCAAGAGCAGGTTGGGATCTTCCCAAGCAAAATTTTTCACATCCCCTCCACCCCTTACTCCAGAATTCATCTATTCAACAACAACAACAACAACAACAACAACAACAACAACAACAAAACCCCACACCTGCAACACACACACACACACACAAACACACACACACAAAATCAGGCTTAGGATGCTTCCATGTTGACCATCTTCTCTGGCTCACCCATCTGACTGCCACTGGTAGGGTCACAGTGGTCCTCCCTGCTGTAGAGCGTGACCAAGGATTTAGGCTTCTCTGAAATCTCAGTAGTTCAGTGGGCTAACTGCTGTGGAGTCAATAGGTCTTAGAAGCCCCAGTGGCTGCAAGGCTGAGAATTTGTCATTGCTGATGGAGTATTTTGTGGCCTTCTGGATAGCTACAACAGTGCTGACCAGGCTCATTTTAATCAAAGGAGAATGGCCCAACCTGTTTCAGAGCTATACCTTTTCAAGTTGATCCCAAGGATCATCTAAGAGATACGACTGATACAATATGCATTTCAGTCACAGCCTGCAAGTAGGAGAGCTTTTTTCTTTGAAAAGGTAAAATTTTTGTTTCCACAATGAAATACTGTTGAAGTTTGTCTTTTTTTCTTTAATAATAAAACCTGAAACAAAAACAAAACAAAACAAAAAAAAACAACAAAAAACACCTCCCAAAGAAGTGGATTTGCTTTCTCATCTTCATAAGCGATGTGAAAAATGCATCTTAAAATAACAGAATGTTTCTGGGGACTGCTATATTCAGCCCCACTCTCCTCACAGCCCTTTGAGAGCACCCAGGTCATGTTGGCGGGGATGTTCTCGTTAGCTCTATAATTGCCCAGACCTTCTTAACCTTTGGAACCTCCATTGCATCCGTTTGCAATTCATTAGATCGTAAGTCTTTCTTCATGTGTTTCTGCTGATGCTTTGGGTTCTCACTGCATGGTGTCCTGTTTGGCACCCAGGCTGTGTCCCTGACTGAGAAGTCATGAGCTGTTCAGCTGGTCCCCTCCACCCTGACTGTCAGTGCACAAGTTGTTAGGTTTTTCTCCAGACACTCTGGAGTGCTATCAAGGTGCTGCAATTAACACTGCCTCCTACAGTCTCTGGCCCAAAGCCCTCCTAGCTCCCCTAAGGTAGCCTGGGTTTTTGTAAATATTTTTTCCCAGTGCATATGCTGTTTGCATCCAAGAATGCTGCCGGTCAGCAGAGGATGGGGTCACGTGGATTGCACTGAGTGTTGCCAAGAGTTTCACTCCCCGTTCTGGGGCCCTTACTGTTTCTTTTCCATACTTGAGGCATTATTAGGCAATGCTTACCCTGTGGGCTTACCAGGAGAGTCAGATATGACCTGACCATGTTGATGAGCTCTGATAATTGCTCTTGCACAAAGTTGTGTTGACAAGCACACCTTTGTGTGGAGCTGCTGGAGGACCTGCTGCTCCAGCCCTGTCCACTGTCAGCCCAGCCTTGTCATGGCCCTTGGTGCTGTCTGACTTCACCCTCACCTTCCCCCTCGTCCTCTCCCATGAGGTTCCCTAATGTTCTTCAGCCTTAGTTTGCATCCCTTTTACTCTCCCCTGCCTCAGCTGTGCACCAGTAGAGGAGTGAAGAATACAAAATGACTGATAAACGTTAGGCTAACAGCAGAATCTCGTCTGCCAAAAACTAGATGCTCTGTAGTGCACTGCCTTTGCCAGCATGCACTCCCTGACCCCTTTCTTGTTACTCCTGGAGCCTGTGGAAACTTTCTGCTCCTGCTGGCCAGGAGCTGTACAGTCTGTGCCTCTGTGGTTTTGGTGGCACGGGGGAGGCAGCAGGTCTGGCCCCGTTAGTGTTTAATTTGAGGGAGAGGCTGCAGGGCTGCAGGAAGCAGGCGGAAGGAGAAGTGAGATGACGAGAGAGTGAGTTCATCAGGATGGTGCGGTGGCTTCTTGGGCAGTGCCAGCTCTGCCTCCTCACAGAGGGCCAGTGTGTATTGATTGCCTGCTTGGCCCTTGCCTGCAGTGAGAGAGAGCTGGCTCCAGGTCTTCTCTCACTGTGGGACTGCCAAGGCAATTTTAACCCTCAGCACTCTGGAGTGCCCAGGCCCTGGGGTTGCTGAAACTCTGGACTCATTCTCATCCCATGCACAGCCTAACACTAAAGAAAGGAAGTAAGGGGACCAACCTTGACACAACAAATTCTTCCCATTTTCTTGCTTCTGTTTCAGCTGGATGCTGGACCTCAGTGATTTAGAACACCTTTATATTCACTGTTTGCTGGCCTTTACTCTCCACATCCTTGCTCTAGTCTTTAGCTTGCTTTATATAGGCGGTCCCCCTACCTAATCACTAACCATCTTGAGGACAGCGGTGAACCCTTGTGGTCTTCAGATACTCATTTTAGGAATAAGCAAAATCAGGGGATTAAGTGCTTCCACAAAGAACTCAGAGTGGAACCCTCCTGCTTTGAAGAAACCTGTCCTGCTTGTGATGTTGATTTGCAAAGAAACCTCAGCCAAGTCAGGAGGACTGATGTCCCTCTGACACTGCATCCAATACAAATTAAATGTTCTCAACCTCCTTGTCTGTATGTGTTCTTCTTTCTGTGATGGGCAGACATCAATAGGTGTGATGCAGAGTTCGCTCCAGTTTAACCTCCTCCTGATCACAGACAAGATGTCCCCAAAGCACCCTGAGCGAATGCGCAAGTTTCGGGCGGCAGCAGAGCTCTTCAAGGGAAAGGTGAGTCCAAACAGAGACAAAGAGGGATTCTTAGGGAGAAAAAAAATACAGTAATTTCTGCCATGAATGGGGAGGGCATAATCTCCTCTGTGCATTATGAGAGCAAAGATCAAGTAGCAGGAAAAGAAGATTATTTGGGTAATTAAGTGGAGGAGTTGGTTCTGTTCACTTTTTGCCAGTTTGCCTCCTTGTGGGGAAAATATCCTCTCTATCCTGCTCCTCTTCTCTTTTGGTGGAACATTGTGTATTTCATTGCTTCTGGTCCAGTTTTGTTCCCTTGTACTGGATGATGACAAACAGCTGCTCTACTTCAGTCTGGCGACGGTTGCATTCCACTGATGTGAGAGGTTAATTTGTATATACAGCACGCAAGACGCCAAGGAGCCTTATGTAAGTGACCAGATAGCAAATAATGTCAGTGCTTCTTAACCCTTAGACTTCTGGTTGGATCCTGGGGAAATGGCTATTTTAAAGGAGTTGGAAGTGGGTTTCTTGAATTTTGCACACTAAGGCGATGAGATAGATGGGATGTTTGAGAGAAATTTTGCCTAGTTCCCATCCCTTGTATGCAGAGCTCCCCGAATAGTAAATCAACCCATGGCTGATTCTCTGCCAAGCAGCTGGATTACGGAGGAATTTGTGTCTGGGGAACAGAGGAATGAACCGGCAAGCAAAGGAGAATTTGGAGCAACAGGAAGGCATTTGGGGAAGATGGGAGTGGCAGAAGATCACGGCAGTGGGGCCAACTGAGCTGAGAGGCAGGCAGAGATCTTCCTCTGAGAAGTGTGGAGCTGGAAAGAGTTGGGGTTTGATAACTAGAACATCTCCATGCCTCTTTTTTTGGCACTAAATGGGCAGATTAGAAATCAAGTATATCCTCACCTTCAAATTCTGGGGCCATCTCAGGACCGTGCACTCCCAAAAGTCTTGAGACATGTTTATGGCAGGACTACTTTGGACCTTGCCATCTTCCCTACCCATTGGCAAGAGACTAGGCAGAAACTTTGCATCAGAGTCAAAAGGTCCCTTCAGAAGGGTTTTGCTTTGGTGAGAATGTAGTGATAAAAACCCCCTCATTTATCTGAAAAATTCTATTCGTCTCGTGAGACTTGTGTTATATTAATACTATTGTCACTGTCCTTCATGAGCAGCAGTCCGATACAGGTCTCCCCCAAGCAGCTAAGTCTTCTAACAAATTGCTGTTTAGCGCTGCTATCCTTTGCTGATGCAGCTGCATCTAGTTTTCGTGATATACCTAGATCTGAGAAAAGGGGAATAATTTTCCTAGAAATACTTCACAAAACATTGGATAAAATGTTGTACTGAAGTTCAGATAATTTATGAATTTTCAGCAAGCCAAATCTAACTTTTTTTTTATTCGTGCTGGCAAGTTTCCCACCAAATCAGTCTAGAAGTTTGCCAGAGTAAAATCTAAAGAATAAAGATGTGGGGGAATTTGACTAATTATTTCTGCTTTACTGCAGTGTTACTGCAGGACACAGAGATGAAAATAAGTTGTTTTTCCCGAAGAAATGGCACTCTGAGGAATAAACCGTGTTTTGAACTGCCCTCTTAGAAAACAGCAAGAGAGCTATGATTCCTCTGCTTGGCTTTTAGATCTGGACAGCAAGGAGTAAGCAGGGTCATATGCCCATTTAGGTTTGTCTCCATTGTTCTGTTACGTAGAAAGACATGAATTAGTTTGTGTATCAGAAGCAGCCACTGCATAATACCATGATAATCTCTGCTAGCTGATTTTCCTAAATGGAGTTGTCTGTTGTCAGGACTACCAAGTTAACTGAGGTTTATTTCAAAACAAGTAAAGAATTGAGTAGAGTTTGCCTTTTTGTGGCTTGCAGATTGTCTGAGAATTAATGCAAGATTATTGACTTGAATTTTATTAGAGATTACCAGTGAATGATTCATATCCTGTGGGATAGTGGTGGAAGGCTTGCTTGTGCTGCAGGGTTAGTGCTGTCAGTAGTTTGAGCAAGGAATCATTGCTGTGGAGTGGAGAGGTGTTTAGGCTGCCTGTGAGCATGTACCACTGTATAGTGCTTTACAGCCAGAGTGCCACAACAGAGTGGGAACGCTTGGTCTGTATTGCAATTTCTCTACAGGCCAGTGCAAAACACAAACAGAGCCTTGAGAGGGTTCCCAAGCAGGAGAAGGGGTACCTATCCCATCACACATCTCTGTTGCCATCTGATGGAAGAATACTCCTTGTCATTATTATCACTAGTGGGAGGGAAAAGAGAAACTTGTTGCTTGGATTGATGGAGAGGTGAAGAGGAACTACTGCTGCTGCTGAGTGGCTGACCCCAAATAGTGAAGAAAATCAGGGAATCATGGAATCATTTTGGTTGGAAAAGACTCTTAAGATTATCAAGTCCAACCAATAATGGTGATTCACCTGCCAGTTCCTGGATTATGATCCTCCTTTCATCTCTGGTTTATGATCTTCTCATTCTTGCCTGAGAGGAAGCTGAGATTTTCAGCTGGAGGATCCATGAAGCTGTATGGTGAGGACTGTTATTTGAAAACAGCCTGAACTGCACCCTGAGCAGCAGTGAGGGCCTGAAGGCAGTCTAGATTCCTCAAGATTTTATTGTGGAACCTGGGCGCTGTAAAACTCTGGAGAGGAAAAAGCAAATGGTAGATGATGCTAAGCCAGCATAAGCTGACAACAATAAGAAGAAATATGGTAGTTTTCTAGCAGACTTTGAGAAACAATTGTGAGTGGATAACAGTGAACAGAGTTCAGAGCACTGCAGCTGCAGGAGTGAATCCACCAGCCTTCTTGGACGGATCCCACTGCAATCAAATACGTGCTTATTTAAGAAAGTACTGCCAATAGTCCAGGTTTTCTACAGGAAAGAAAATGTCAGGGTTTGCATTGCTGGGCCAAAGTAGCATAATAATTTTCAGTTTTCTTGCTACAGGATCAGAGTATAGCGTGATAATTACAGCTGGTGTATCTCATGGGTATTGGCAGAAGTTTCAATAGGGTGATGTTGGGAATAACAAAAGCAGCTTTTGCTGCAACTGATGCAATTGGTTTCCAATGTGAAAATGTTTTGGGTAGAGATGTTTCCAAACTCCCTTTTAATTTGTATATAGGTCCATTTAGAAATGGCTTCTGAGAAACTCCTGAGTGTCCTTCAGGACTTCTTCCATGGAAATGAAAAGATGATGCCCTTTCTCTTGCAGACAGTCATCCATACACTTCTTATTTTTCTTATCGGACATTACTGGCTCCAGAACTGAGAGAGATAATATTTAGAGATGCCTGTTTTAGCAATAAACAGAGGAGCCTGTAAATATGGATTTTCTATGTCACTTAAGATATCTACAGTAGTTTCTACACTTTTGTTTTTATTCAAGACCGATGTTTTAGTTTTGCTTTGATGTAGTTTGTAAGCTATGTAAGACATTATTCAAACTTCAGAATTTGATCTTTTTGCTTATACAGTCTTCTCCAAGAATGACAACTGCAGTTCTCTGAAGTTCAAAGTCAAACACTGGATTTGAGGCTTGATCATCCTTCCTGTTTGTCTTTGTTAGAAAAAACTAAGCAATGTTAGATTGGTTATTAACATTGCAGTGCTATTTTCAATTAACTTTAATTCCTTGGGCAATAACATCATTCCATATCTTAGTATTTACTAGGAACTCAATGTTCTAAAAGCGCTGGGCTAGGAATCAACTTGTCAACACACCAAAACAGCATCAGTGTACAAATTTTCTGAAAGAGAGCTTATTGCAGGTGACAGTGCAAAGATAATATCATGTGTGGAGTAGAGAGTTTGTGTCAGGAGTTTGTCATCCATGAAGGATATCCATCACTGCCTGTAGCAGCAGACCTCTGAAATAAGGCAAGAAGTTTGCCACAAAATGAAACAATTTCATGGAAATAATTTCAGAATGAAAAAAAACTCAACCAATTATTATACGGGAGAGTATGAAATGGAAAGTGAACTTTTTGTTTGGGATGGAACTAACTGGTTTCTAGCAATGATAAAAGAGTTGCCATTATAAGTGGTATTTTTGTTTTGATGAATTATAGCTTTGGTGAGTTGTCTAAGCAAAGGTTTTAGGCTCCTTTCAGCACTGATTGAGAAAGACAGCCATATCTTCCCTTCCAAAATAGGTGGAATAAAGTACTTGTCACTGGTTATTGTAGAGGTTACCTAAATGGATGACTGAGACAAGGCTAGGATCTGGATGGCAGAGGTTGGGCAATATGAATCTTGCCTCATGGTCATTATAATTTTCCATGATCACTGCATTTATTCTTTATGAATAGAGCTGGATGGGAATCTCGGAATAAAATAAATTCCTCAGTTTGCGTGTTTCCATTTGCTTCTGTAAGGAAGAAGGTATTTGAAATTCTAAACCCCAACCTTTTTATTCTTTTATTCTTACTCTATTTTTTTTATTAATGGATAAAATGTGTACAGCTTTTTAGTTTTCAGGGTCTTTAACAAAGACTGGAAGCTTGATAAAGTGAAGAATATTGACTAACATTTATTTATATTCCCATTTTAAAATGTTATTCATCTGTTTTAAAGGTGAAGGAGGTTTTGTATAGAAAATGACACCATTTATGAACCTAAGTATTCTAAATGCCTTTTTTTTTTTTAATAACCTCCTATTTAACATTTGACTGAAAAGATACAGTTGTCTGGTGAATCTTTCATAGAGAAAACCAAAAGTTTGTGAATGAACTGTTGAAAATGTGGTATCATTTCCTGTATCAACCCCCTGAAAATGCTTCCTCTCCAGCAATGGCTTCTGTTTCCACCTTGCTGGTTGGAAGGAGAGCTCTAAAACATTAAGTATTGCTGTTCCATCTGAAAGCCACTTAGCTCAGGTCCTTAGACCTGTGAACCTCAAATTTGTGACCATTCTTTAGCTTGGTGTTTTATCCTGCAAAAAAGATGAATCAAACACTCTGAGAGAAGTTCCCCACAACCTGGCTGTTCACTAACTTGTTTCCCTTGGGGCACAGTTGGCTTTTGAAAGAGAAATTGCAAGTGGTAAATATCACATATCCAGTGCAAGTATTGTTCCTGTTTCTGTATCTCTCTGTATAACTGCATTTAAACCATACGGCATCCTAACTATCCTTCCTTTCCATAGGCTGTTCCCTAGGAAAGTTTCCAGATTTATTTCGGTTTTTTATAGAACATAAATTTAATAAAATACAGAACTGGAGATTTACCAAGTTTATTTTTAGAGAAGAAAATAAGTTTTGAACTAACTTGAGTGTTCTTCATTGAAATGATAGAAAAACATGAGTCACAGCCTGGGAATTAGGCACATCATCTTCACATTACAATTCTTTTCTTTCATTAAACTCTTCTTTTTTCTTGTGTCAGTTAAGTCATAGCTTTGTCCAAAAGTACATTAAATATGCTAGCCAAACAGACTGCACAGGAAAAAAAGGAGATAAAATGACACATGCTAGCTGGGTTTTTATTTCATTGACTTGGATCTCAACTGCTGAGGGATGCTATTTAATCAGGTCACTGATTAAATTGTTTCATTGATGTATTTATTTTCTTTTATAAAATTTATACATAATTTTTGTATTTAGCATTAATAGATAATTTTGCAAAGATTTTTGAGATAGCCGTATATTTTATTGGTAATATTTCAGATTCTAGAATTTTAAGTTTGTGCTAATTCCTACTGCACCTCTACAATCTAGGCTGAAACTTAGCTTTTAAACTGAAATCATGGAGTTGGTCACCAATTATGATAAATTTGTACTGTTGAATCATCCCAGAATAATCCTAATCCTTGGCTTGATCTTGTTCTCCAAGACTATCTGGGAGCACAGAAAACTATAGGTCATTCTCATCCTGGCTTATTCATTATTGGGCTTCTCTCCCCAGGTCTGAACAACCCTTCACTGAGTTGGGCTGTATGGAAGTTGGTGTCTTGACAGCAACTTCTGTTTCCCAAATGATTGCATCTTCATTTATGTTCACTGCAGCTAACTTAAATACATTTTTTGTGTTTGGTGCTTTCATCTTCTTATCCTTGCTGTCCTGTACTTCACTCCCAGGTTCTTGCAATTGAGTTTGATTCTTCACACACCAAAACATTTTCTGCCGCTCTTGGTCTTGCATGTATGTGAGCATCTTATGCAAATAACATGCAAGTAGAAGAGTCAACTTCTTTGACATGTGCTGCTAAGATAGGACATCTTGTTTCCTTATCTGTTAAGAGAATAGAAGTGGAGACTGCCTTCCTGTCATACTGCAGATATATTTTTAAAGAAGGTGAAAGAAGACATTTTGGTTGGTAGTGTAAGTCTGGACTTGATAAAATACAGAAAAACGCACTGCATGGAGTTGCTAGATTGTGGCAGAGGAAAGTGTTGCTCTAACAGAGACAGTTTTCTCAAACTCTTTATAAAAAAATCACTGTTAATCTTCATATGATCACTGTTTGGGGATCTGTTCTCTCTCTCATCTTCTGTTTTTCTCACATTTCCTTTCCTGTTTCCATCACAGATTCTCTTTATCCTGTTAGACAGCAATTTGAAGAGCAATGAACCAGTAGTGTCATACTTCCAGCTGAAGAAGTCCCAGCTGCCAGCTCTGGCTGTATTCCACACACCAGATGATGAGCATGATGTGATGACTGTGGATGAAATCTCCATTGAGCATGTACAGGACTTCTGTAATGGTTTCATACAAAGAATGAAGAAGGTGGGTCCTGTATGGGAAACCAGGATCTTGTAGGATGATGCTGTTGTTCACAAGGCTTTTGAAGAAGATGACTTCAGTTTCTTGAACTCCTTCCCATCCCTGCCACCTTCTCTTCCACATACATTTGCACCTGAATATGAGTAAAGCATTAGATCTAGGGCAGAACAGAGATGGATATCTTTGCAAAGCCTCTTTCTTCAACAAGAAGATTTCACTGACCTCTGAAGGTCTCTGTGAAGCATCTATCATATAGGAACAGCAGCTGGGGAGACAAAGTAAAGGGTGCCTTTGAATGCTGAGAATGGGATGGTGAATGGCCACACATGAGAGTGGGTGAGAGAAAAAATGGCATGGATAGGAATGAAATCTATTGGGAAGGCTACAGAACAGAGTATACAGATAGGGGCTTAGGACTCTAGTAGAGGTCTCTGCTGGGAAAGGGGCAATTTAATCTCCATGTTCATTCAGTGTTAAGAGTTTTCTCTGTTAAAATTCATCTTCCTATAGCACAGAGGTTTTGTGTTGTAAAGTGGAAATGAGATAGACAGGGCAGTGGCACAGACAGCAGAGGGAGGCATTTGAGTTATTTTCCTTTTATCACTATGCTGAGAAACCGAGTAACATCAAAACTGATTTCATGCCTCTAATGTGTTTTAGAAAGAAGACGAATCTGAGAAGCCCCTCAATGAGGAACTCTGATTCTTTCTCAGCCAACAGGATGACTGTGCCCAGAATCACCTGTTTCTCCTGTATTAAGAGTTCACTTCACTCTGCAGCTCGACAACTTCTGAACCAAGTTGGTCATGTATTCCCATCACCATTCTATGTATATATATTCTGTCTATCCTCTCCAGAAATCTCTTCTCTCTTCTCATTCATTGGCTCCAGTTCACTTCTTTTCAGTACTCCAGTACCTTTGGTATTGCCTTACATTGTGTCCTTCCATGCCACTCTGTTGGAGCAAAGAGCGGCGTAGCAAAAGGGCAATATCAGAGGTAAAGCTAGTAGTTCCCAGGGATCTGTTTCCCTCATTCTCTTGGCTTTTGGTGATATGCTGGGATGCACTGTCAGCCTTTCCTGACACTACAAATGGATTGGTTGCATGATGTCACATGACCTTTTCCATTTATTTTACTAAATAAAGCAGAAAGTGAATAGCCTGAATTTTTACTCAAATATGTTGTTTCTCACTCCTCTTGTCTTTCACTTGAGGATGAAGTCTCTGTATTTCTGAGTAAGCTTAAAAAATCTACTTTCTCTGAGTTTAACTTAGGCTTAGCAACTAACCAGGTTGGTTGCTAAAAATCATTCCCCGTGGAACTAGACCCATCATCAACAGATATTTCCACCAGGATGAGAGATTTCTAGCACAGGGGTCAGCCCCTCAGAAGCACTGTGGAGCCACAGGGTCCCATCCCAGACCCTGTCACACAGTACAGCTTTGAGGATAAGAGATGGCTTACTTTGCACTGGCCCAGGGACTAAGCAGAGGAAACTCACACCTGCAATCCAGAATCCCCATGTCAGTGATGTATGATGATGTGGAGGGTTGACCTTGGCTGGACACCAGGTGCCCACCCAGCCTCTCTATCACTCCCCTTCCCAGAGGGACAGGGGAGAGAGTAAGGTGGAAAAAAGGAAACAACTCGTGGGTTAAGACAGTTTACTTAAAGGAAAAAGCAAAGTGAAGCTTGCTTGCACAGAAGCGAAAGATAGCAGGGTTTATTCTCTGCTTCCCATGAGCAGTGATGGTCGGCCACTCCCGAGAAGCAGAGCTTCAGTATGTGTGATGGTTTCTCAGCGGGCAGCCATGAGACAATGAATGCCCACCCTCCTGCTCTGTGCCTTAGCTTTTATATCTGAGCTGATGTCATATGGTATGGAATATCCCTTTGGTCAGTTTGGGTCAGCTGGCCTACTTGGGTCCCCTCCCAGGATCTTGCCCTCAGCTGAGGAAGGAATGTTACAGTGTTGGTGCTGTGCTCAGCAGCAGCCAAACCACCAATGTGTTATCAACACCCTTCTAGCTGCCAATGCAGAACACAGCACTGAGGGCTACTGTGGGGAAATGAACTTCAGCTCAGCCAGACCCAATACAGATGATTTTGAATTCCTGGTTTTATACTAGTCCTAGAACGTGCAGGGCTGTTTCTCCTGCCAAGAATCCTGCTCGCTTTCCCTCAGTTGGAAAACTGCTGCTTTTTATGGCTATAGCTTGTTTCTCCCTGGGAAGGGTTATATTCCCTCCTCTGCAGTATGGTAAAGAGGGAAGATCTGCTGCGGAGACATCTGCGAGGAGTCCTGGCATTGTAGATGTTTCCAGTGTCATGCGTGTCTGTGGTCCAGACCAAACAGTGGGGGGGGACTGACCTGCTGCACAGGTGTCTGAGGTACATGTCTTGGCCCTGTGTGAACACAACAGCTGCAAGAATTGGGCACAGCGACGTGACTCTTCCTCAGTGCTGGAGGGAAAAAAAACAGGACATGAATGAAGCTCTGGTTCTGCAAACAAGCCTGGGAGTAAGAGCAGTGTCCCCAGTGACTGTGTTCGCTGTGTACACAGCTAATTATAGGGATAGCTTTTCAGGAGCTTCATTATGTACACTGGGGAGTTTAATTCCCTCTGCACCTTGCAGAGCTCTGCACCTAACTGACAACCTTGGGAGCCACAAGGACACCAGAGGAAAGGCCTCCTCCTCCTCCTCCAGCTGTTGTGTGGGACTTACACAGCTTGGACAGTCCTAGAGTGCTGGGCACAGATGTGGTGGTGGTGGTGGAGTCACCTTAATCCCTGTGCTCAAAGGCTTCTGCAATGCAACTTTGGTGGGCTTAACCACTGCAATGGGCCATTTGAGGGAGAAACCAGATACACAGTGATGTGGGTGGAGCAATCTCTTGTTTGTTGTTTCATTTTTTGTTGGGTTTTTTTTGTCCAGTCGTGTTATCTCTGACCTGAATTTGTGGTGTACGTGGCCCAGATGTTTTGAGCTGTCTGGGGAGACTGGTTTGGTTTTCAGTGGGAGGAAGTACTAGATGCAAACTGACAGAGGGTAGGATGAGGGGGTTCCCTTTGCCCTCAGTATTTTGGAGATACTGTGATGTGAGAACCTCTGCTCTGCAGCAGCACCTGCACTCAAGGGACATTCAAAATACCTAAGAAAACAGCTGAGTCTGCCTAAGAGCAAAGTGAGGCTGCAGAGGCATATGAGAGCTGCTGTCTTTACCCCAGGGAACAGGGAATTGGGTTGCACTGTGGATGATGTAACTTTGCGTTCATCTTTGGTGAGAAAGGATTTGAATGCCTCCAGAAGCAGAATATTACAAAGACTTGGAGGTTCAGCAAGGGGACAAACATTTTTGTGGTTTATTCCCCTGAACTGTTGTGTGGGGCATAAAATAAGTAAATGTTGCTTAGAGGTGAGGGCTGGGTCCCAGGGGTAGTCCCCGCCTATACTCCCCAGGTAGAAACCAGCTGCCAGGTCCTAGTGGCACCATTCAACTCTCTTGGGCACTTCTCTTTGGCATTTGCAAATGCCCTTGAGATGCAGATGTTTATGTTACAGCCCTCTCCTCAGCATTTCCTACTGGTTGGTGGGCTGTTTCCCTGTGAAGTATTCAGATTTCATCAACAGCTCTTCTGGATATACACATCCCTCAGGAGTCTGCTGGGTCATGTATGTCAGCAGGCAGCAAGGGACTTGAGGGATGAGTTGATGCTGAGAGTTGCTGCTCTTCTGTCTCGAAGTCCACAAGGCAAGGCTCAGCTCTCTGTTGCTTTATTCCTCTCTTTTCCAGCAGCTGATGCAGTGCCAATGCCAACTTCATGTAAATCATACTCATCATCAGCTTGAGCAAGGCTATTTGGGGAAGAGGGGTTTTAACAGGATACATGTGGTGCATCAACTGTTTGTTACCATCTCTCACTCCTGTGCTTCAGCACAGAATTTTTCTTCCTTTTGTGTAATATGGGCCCAAACAAAGTCTGAACAGTGCTGAATGTAGGGGATTTAAACCTCTGAACTAGCCCCCATCTGCTGCAGGTTGAAGCAAGACTTTCAATATGAACACGTCTGCCCTCAGCTCCAGTTTCACTTCACGCAGAGTTCTGGATCTGGCTGTGAGTGTCTGCTGAGCTGCGGGGAATCTGACAGGAGAAGGACCAGAACAACCTTTGCACCTACACTGAAGAAGAGGAGTGGGCACTGGTTTCTGTACGTGAGTCTGTCTGGTTAGCATTGCTCCTGCTCTTGAAAGCGGCCGGGAGATGCTGAGAGCCCTCTGACTGCCAGTATGAAGGGAAGAGACATCTCACAGGGCATGCATCCCTCCTCCCTTATGCATGCAGAAAACAATCACCAGCACAAGGCAGGATTAAACCTTCTACTTTTCTTCCAGGGACTCTGCTAGGCATCAAGACTCTGCCAATTTTGAATAAACAATTTTAAAATCTCTCCTCTATTTACCGGAATACCTGTCATAGGATGAGCTTTATGGTGGTTAAGTCAGATCCCATCTCATGCACATAACTCCAGCACTGAGCTGGGCCTGAGTTCTCAGGAGCGATGATTTAGTGCAAGATATGGTAGGAACCATTGTCCTTCTTATAATAAAAGGAGGAAGTGCATGACTTTCTGACACCTCTGTTTACAAAATCACAGAATTGGTAAGGTTGGAAGGGACCACAATGGATCTGGTCCAACCTCCCTGCTCAGGCTGGGTCATCCTAGAGCACATGACACAGGATTGCATCCAGACGGTTCTTGAATATCTCCGGTGAGGGAGGCTCCACAACCTCTCTGGGCAATCTGTTTGAGTGTGTAGTCACCTGCACAGTAAAGAAGTTCTTCCTTATACTCAGGTATAAGGAACTTCCTGTGTACCAGCTTCTGCCCATTGCCTCTTGTCCTATTGCTTGGCACCAGTGAGAAGAGCCTGGCTACATTCTCTTGACACCCTCCCTTCAGATACTTACAGATATTGATAAGGTCCCCTCTCAGTCATCTCTTTTCAAGGCTGAACAGATCCAGCTCCCTCAACCTTTCCTCCTCATAAGAGAGATGCTCCTGTCCCTTAATCATCTCTGTTGCCCTCTGCTGGACCTGTTCCAGGAGCTCCATTTCTCTCTTGTACTGAGGAGCCCAGAGGAGTTTGTCTGGAAGGAAGCTGAACCAATAAATCTGGGCAGCAATATTAGAAAAAAATCCTCTCTTGCGGGTGGACAGATCACAGGGCTTAGTCATGCTGCACCTTGGCACAGGATGGGTTCCCCTCAGTACCACTAATGGCAGCCCATGGGCTGGCAAAGAGGTGGGGACAGTTGACACAGGAGGAGGAAATATTGTCTGAAGGATTCAACTGGGGAAGTGGTTTGCAGGACCGTGAAAGAGGAGGGCAAGGAAGAGCCAGAGGCTGATCTGGGAGAAGGAAAGGACTTGCCCAAGGGGGAATGTGGCCAGCAATGGGTAAGGGTCAGTGAGGGAAGGTGCTGGATTGGTACCACAGAGAACTGACAGGGATGAGAACACATAAGTGTTTTTTTAGGGCTGTGAATCAAATACCTCTTTGACCCATTTTGGCTCAGTCATAAAGGAAACTTCAGAGGAACATTCTCAGTGGAAAAACCTGCAAAACCACAAGATGCACATTGAATAAGAGAGTACTTGTTTCCCCATTTGAATTTCTCCGTTCTCTGCTAATGTACCTAAAAATCCAGGCCGGCAGCCTCCACGATCTGTAAAGCAGCATATATTTTCAGGTTAGAGGAAAGGCCCATGCATAACTGCATCTCTGCCTGCACCAGGCCTCCACATATGACGGCTGTGCGGAGTTGCCCGCTGTATCACAGCTGCAAAGAGCATCATGTCCTCCTCCCCCACGTTCCTCAGGGCTTAAGCCATTGAATCCTCCATGGATCACAGCAGCCCCTGCAGAACCCCATATCCTGTCCACATACAGGTTGAAAAGTCAGACCCATCCAGTTTCCAGCCTAAACACATGGATTGTTTGTGCACTCCAAGTTTCTCCCTATCCCTGTATTATGAGTATTATATATTCTTCACGTCTCCCACCTCCCTCTCTTCCTAGGCCACATTTCGTTACCCTGTTAGGGGCTTAGTCTGACTCTGTGCCACCTATGTCATGTGTTTTGTGTAATGTCTACATCACAAGCATTATTT